TTATCTGGCAACGTTAGTGTGTTATCGCATGCGCAATATCTCACTAGAAGAGTTAAATTTTAAGATGATTATAAATTTAATATGGTTGGGGCGTATCTCAGCATAGATTTCTGTAATTAATTGTTATCAGTAGACCTGTGTTTATAATTAGGAGAGCGCCCTAGCCTGTAAGGTGCAAAATCCCTACGTCATCCTCTCCACCCCGTCCCCTTGCCTCTATTGTACGTCTTTCGCTCAGCCTCCTTCTTTTTATCCTGTCCCAGCTATCTTCCCTGCTGCCTTTTCCCAGTCTCCCAACACTCACTCTCTCCCTCAGCCAGCTATATTATGCAGTTGTCGTCAGTCCGTATTGCACGCCTGAAACGGTGCTCGCGCATGCGCAATATCTCTCGACAATATCATTATTAAGCGAAAATTATGCATTTAAAATAGAGAGGAGGAATTCTAGCATAGATTTCTATGATAAAATTCCATCAGTAGATCTCACTTAAGAAATAGGACGATGATCCTGCATGTCAGGTCCCCGCAGCATATCCCAGCCAGTACATAATCTGGCAACGTTAGTGTGTTAGCGCATGCGCAATATCTCACTAGAAGAGTTATATTTTGTGATGATTATGAATTTAATATGGTTAGGGCGTATCTCAGCATAGATTTCTGTAATTAATTGTTATCAGTAGACCTGTGTTTATAATTAGGAAAGCGCCCTAGCATGTAGGGTGCAAAATCCCTACTTTATCCGTTCCCGCCCATCCCCTTGCCTCAATTGTCTTTCGCTCAGCCTCCTTCTTTTTCTCCCGTCCCAGCTATCTTTCCTGCTGCCTTTCTCCAGTCTCCCAACACTCACTCCTTTTCTCAGCCAGCTATATTATGCAGTTGCCTTTAGTCCGTATTGCACGCCTGAATCGGTGCTCGCGCATGCGCAATATCTCTCGAGAATATTAATATTTTGCGAAAATTTAGCATTTAAAATAGAGAGGAGGTATTTTAGTATAGATTTATATGATAAAATTCCATCAGTAGATCTCACTTAAGAAACAAGTCGATGATCCTGCATGTAAAGTCCCCGCTGCATATCCCAGCCAGTACATAATCTGGCTACGTTAATGTGTTAGCGCATGCGCAATATCTCACCAGAAGAGTTATATTTTGTAATGATTTTGAATTTAATATGGTTAGGGGGTATCTCAGCATAGATTTCTGTAATTAATTGTTATCAGTAGACCTGTGTTTATAATTAGGAGAGCGCCCTAGCCTGTAGGGTGCAAAATCCCTACTTCATCCGCTCCCGCCCATCCCCTTGCCTCCATTGTCGTTCGCTCAGCCTCTTTTTTTTTCTCCCGCCCCAGCTATCTTTCCTGCTGCATTTCTCTAGTCTCCAAACACTTCACATGTTTGATGTTAAGTTTTGACAAAATA